GTACAAAGAATATTATCTTATATTTTTACAATATAATCAAACATATTTATATTAATGTTAAATAGAGATAAAAATATATATATTTACTGCATTACGATGCAAAATTTTAAGATAAAGGCGGTCATCAAGGTATTATATGCAAAATAATTATTATTAAAACGTTACTTGTTGCAATCTGTGTTAAGTAAGAATTTTATTGCTGCAAGTGCAACACTTGGATTTCTGATTTTTTTATACTTTTTTACAATTTCTTAAAATCGCTAATTCTAAATTCGAAAATTTAATTATTTGAAATTAGAACTGAATATCGATGCTGTTGTGAATGGTTCACGGTGTGATCTTGAATGTGACAAGATTATACGAGACTGCTTATGTTTCAGATGTGTCTTCGATTCAAACATCGTTAAGTGCGACCGGACCTTTCGAGGGCCTTTAGCGCCGATCCCGTTACAAGGTATTCATGGGGGATTGCCTGGGATATTTAGCGCAACTACTTTTCAATATATGTTCAGAACCGTTTAATTCTGAGATCATAAGTCCTACGAAAATAATTTGAGTTTTGAAAATGTTTAATGAACTTTTCATGACAATATAGGATTTTATTCGAGGCGAAGTATAATAAAATTTCGATCAAATTTCCTAAATCTCATAAATAATTGCACGTTTAATGTTTGAATATTTGCATTTTTTTTTAAATAAATAAAGATAGTCAATACGCGATACGTACATGTGTTTTAGTATTTTTTGTTTCAAGACAAAACAATGTAATATAAATCGATAAAACAAAATATCGATAAAATCAAATGATGAAAACAGGAAAAGATATATGTTTAATAAATATTACGATTTACGATATTAAACATGAAGGGAAAAAATCGAAATATGAATTTCGCGCAGTAATTGAAGCGTGATTAAAATAATACGATTATTTTTAGGAGTAAAAGTAGTTTAATAGAAAGTTCTGATTTTTTCTTAGTCATCTTCAATTCATAGTTGACAATGTACATTCAGATATTCAGAAACATATGGCTACAAGATCTAGAGTATTATTACTAAATATATTCCATTTCTAAATGTTGATCTGAATATATTTTCACTAATTTACTTCAGGCCTTGTAACCATTTTGACTAGTATTCCTCTAACAAAGATTTTTCACAGATATTAATGAATATTTGTGCATCGTCGATTGTAAGCTGAGCATGACTCCAAGAAAAGTCGAAACGTTCATTAAACTATTTACATTTTACTTCTAAACAATAATTGTTTTCATTATCGTGCTAAACTCATATTTCTTTTTTCCTTAAGAAATATGCTTTACGGGAATGTTTCAATACAGAAGTAAAAATATACTATGAAACTATAATTAAAGAGAATATATGTATCGTTCTAATTGGCAATTTGGTAATGTTTCACTTGTAGCCCTCCCTGTGAGGAGGGGAGGCAATGGAAGAGGTGATGAAAACAATTGATGAGGAGGAAAGGAAAAATGCGATGTACTTGCGCCTACTGTCGTGTCTACTGCGTAAAAGTACATGTACTGTCACTAAACAGTTCAACAAGGTTTATAGAAGGTTTAACTAGATTTATATCCGCGCGCTAAGATTTCTCTTAAAGTTGCTTGAGATTACAATGGAGGACTCGTAAGTATGTATACAGGTAAAGTACATGATTATGAAATTTTCACGTGACATTTATCATGAATATAAACGATACATTTTTTTCTTTCAAAAATTATTTTGAAAACTAAACTGTTCAGTCAAAAATTAAAACTTTATATAATACTAATATTTGCGGTTTTCTTGAGTTTTTAGATATTTAAAGGTCATATTCGATGAAAATGAAAAAACAGATGCTATAAATATATTATTTTCGAAACACTATCTCGCTCTTTTTCTGTTCCTTTCATTTCCTTTTTTCTCCTCCTTTTCTCTGTTTTTTCGTACACGTACACACACTCTCTTATTCATTCACTCTCACTCACTTTCACATTATTTTTGAAATGCTCAGAAAATATGTAGAAATATTTTAATGTGAATAAAATCTAATAAATTTATAATTTATATTTATTTTTTTTATAATAACATTTTTTTTCTCGATTTTAAAAACTATATCTGCTTAGAAGCAGAAGGTTCATGGTATAAGAAGATATCTCTGTATCAAGTAACAAGCTATATATCATTTTATTGAAAAATGTACAAAATACAGAAAATTAACAATTCTGTCATACATTCCCTGAATTTTTCTCAATCATTTTATTATGTTATTACATGTATATAATTGTACACATACACACAATATATCACGAAATAAGAACAATAAAAGTAATACTATTTTAAGTCTCTTAAAAAAAATGCTATATTATTTTTATATAATTAATAAGCAATTTGTTATTTTTTCCATCTATATAACAATGTACCAATAGTAAGTCTAGTTGGTTACATATCACAAGTGAATAAATTCATCAATTTATTTCTTGAAATACACTGTGCAATTTAAATGTTTTAAAGAAATTAATAATTTCATTGTGATATTTTCAAAATATAAAAATCACAACAATATGTTTCATATATAGGCACCTAATTTGAATTTACATTTTTTTTCTTTTAGGTAATATTTGCATTATTTTTAGTGCCTAATCCGATATCCGTAAAAACAATGATTTTTCTTCATCTTCCATGAAGCTTTTATACTTCTTAATCTCGTTCTGGATAATACTGGATTAATATTTTGGAAAGTTGTTGAGCTAATTCCATCGATGATGCGCACAATGTTCTTCTGCTCATCACGTCAAATGGGCCTCCTTTTAACGTGTAAAAACAAAATGAATTAGTTTTGCGTTATTTTGGCATTTATTTCCATCTTATATTATATCTCTTATTTGACTGTGACTGATATAATGTTTGTAATTGTTTACCAGCTGGATCTATTGACACACCGCCAGCTTCTCGAACAATAAGATCTCCAGCTGCAACATCCCATGCATGTATACCAAATTCAAAAGAAGCGTCAACACCACCAAGAGCCACCATGCACATATTTAGAGCTGCCGCACCAAACGATCGTATTCTGTAGGATAAGTAAATAAATAAATAAATCTCTTTGCACATAATTAGAAATTATTAGGTGTGGGAAAAAGTTCGTGGCGTTTTTTTAATGCCATCTAACGGGAAAAACGCCACGAACTTTTTCCCATACCTAATATATTCTGTAAATGTGTCTTACCCATGTACATGTGATGTAAGAAGTGTTATATTTTGTAGGACTATTTTCAATTTTTCTGGATCTCTACTAGTTCCCACTTCTAACATTACTAATGCCTGACGCAATTCTGGAGTAATGACAGTTAGTTAAATTTAACAAAATAATTAGAAGGACTCGAATTATATATTAAAAATATTGATTTATATATATTGTATATATAGGAATTTTTGTAAACTAAAATTTAAATAGTTGTGTGTAGTCATATGAAAAAGATTTTCAAAATTTGAAATGCAGGATAATCTTTTTGATGCTACGTATGGTACCGTAAGATATATGTATTTCAATTTACTCTTTACTAATCGTTTAAAAATGTTCGTTTTAATAATTATTTACATTACATATAATCGAGTTTATGATTAAAGTACTAACAAAACATTTGAATAAATATTTTGAGCGCGTATATAAATGCCAAACTATAAAGATCTATCGGAAGGATATTATATGTATAATCCTATCGATATATATGTATACTTTATTTCTAATGAAAAATATTAGAGAAATTACCCTTTTCACTGGATACATGAATCGGGGCGCCATTGAGAAAAGCGCCCTGACCTTTGCGAGCAGTGAAAAGTTGCTCCAAAATTGGATTATATACTATTCCTATTTCTGTTATTTTATTAATAAGCAGCGCAATCGAGATGCATGTGTATGGTAAACCATGAACAAAATTCATCGTGCCGTCGATAGGATCGATTATCCATGTTGGAGAATTTGTTAATTCTATTTTTTGTCCTGAGGAAGTGCTTTCTTCGCCAATAAATCTGTCATAAAATACATATGTTTACTTAGAATAGATAAGAGAGTAGATAACAAAATTATATCCTGGAGCTTTAATGGCTTTAGCTGTTGAAACAAATTGAATTTGCATTTAATTTCTTCCAAAGATATTTTCAAGATATTTTTGCTATTATAAAATATTTCTTACGCATATTGCGTTATGTTTTTGTCTGTTTACCTGTGGTCAGGATATCTGGATGATATTCCATCAATTAAAAGTTTTTCAACTTTTTGATCCCACTCCGTAACAAAGTCAACATCACATGATTTTGTAAGTACATCTTTATGTTGATAAATTTTTTCTCTGACAATCTGCAGATAAAATATAAAGCACAATTAAATCTTTTAATTTTTTATATAGATGGTATCGAGGGAAAACTAGATACTTCAGTAAGTAATGTAATTAATATCTTTAGAGTATATTATTATCTTTAAAGTCAGGTAACTATCAGAGTTATTTGTAAACAAATATGCCATTGCTATGAAAAATGTGATTATGATAAGAGCAAAAGTATAGTTTGTTTTCCTGCATCTTTATCTTTCGAATTTGTATATTCCCCTTTTTTGCATACTATTTCAAGAATTGTCACGCGCGCTACGTGTTATACGTCTTTCACACTTATGATACTTAAAGTCATTTCGATCAACTCCGATTAACTTGAGCAACAAAATCACTTAAAACAATTCGTCTCTAATATATAGTTAATCTTTCTTTGATATATGTATTAATAAATATAATTCTATTAATTAATTATTATTTGTTTTGTTCATATAACTTAATAAAATAGTGCTGATTAAGTTAATCGGAGTTGGTCAAGGAATGGCCTTTATGCTATCTATGCCGTACAGATAACATATAAGTGATCTCGTGGATTTACGAATTTTTCATGATATAATTTTATAGATATTAAAATCATGGAAATTATACTGTAATGAAATTAAATTCTACCTAATATATTCGTCAAGCGGGTCGAATATTGTCGCGTGAGCGATATTGTATCGCGGCGATTAAAAAGATTGCAGAATATAGGTACGCTGCAAAATATCCTAATATTCGATGAATTTTATCGGTAAACTATTTTTTTGTTAAAAATTAGAGATACTATGCACAACTAATCATGTAACTAATCGACTTACCGAACCAGCTTGCTTTACAAATCGCAAAATCTCTGTGTAATACTCGTCGACATTCGACATAATTTATGTGGTGTAAAAAACTATAACACTATCGAAAGCTTTTTTCACGCACCACAAATAACTCCACTGTAAATAATTCACTTAAATTTATTTGCGTTCTCGTTATCACCGACCGGACAATCGTTATCTAGCGCGGTCTACCGCTGTTTGCCTGAATGTGACTGAATAAGTACGTATAAGCACTGAATTACATCTGTCGATCGTCGACGACCATCGATGACTGCTGTAGAGTTCGTCGGATCGACATCTTTTGATGGCTTCCTTTCGTACAGCTTCGTACTTGGTAACATGTAGTTGTGTGTATGTACATACATATACCGATACACTCTATACGGATTATACCTACCTATTGGTCTTCTACCGCACCAATCGATTCTCACCAATCCTCGCACTATTGCATGTACAGATAAGAGATGTATGTGCGCGCATGAACATATAAATTCAAATATTAATAATTATCTTTTTTTTTTACATGATACAAAAAGGAAGGATGGGTAAGAA